GAGTGCTTGGCTGTGCCCCATAGAAATCCCTAGGACAAACCATTTTTGCTTCTCTGTTTATATTTGATCACGGGACTGACTCTGTTGGAGATGTAATGGATATTCACACTTACTAAGCATTAGCACAACCATATTGACAATAACCAAAGCAGGCAGAGGCCCAAGCATAACTCAGTCTACCAGACAGATTCCTATCCTACACATTCAAGTTGCAATAAAAATGAAAGATCAGGAAATTTGAAGCTAAACTGTTTCCTCTTACCTTTAACCACAGAGTTGCAACACTATGCATTTTTAAGAGGGAAAAACAGCCTCCTGTTCATCACTGTGGTTAAGCATATGTTGTTCTGTCCTCCAGCATCCTAACATACCAGCATTTTGCTAATTCCTAACAGCAGTATGATACCTAGGTACAAGAGTAGCATTTTTGCTATTCTATACCTAAGTGAGAAATTTAACATTTTATATATAATAAGAGGACCAGATATCCAGGTTTGCCTGGGACACTTCTGATGTATGCCTGTTGTACTGGTGTAATTATTATTATTTCGAGATGGAGTCTCACTCTGTCACCCAGGCTGGAGTGCAGTGGTGCGATCTCAGCTCACTGCAACCTCCGCCTCCTGGGTTCAAGCAATTCTCCTGCCTCAGCCTCCTGAGTAACTGGGACTGAAGGCGCCTACCACCATGCCAGGCTGATTTTTGTATTTTTAGTAGAGACGGGGTTTTGCCATGTTGACCAGACTGGTCTCGAACTCCTGACCTCAGGTGATCCACCTGCCTCGGCCTCCCAAAGTGCTGGGATTAACAGGAGCGAGCCACCGCACCGGGCCAAACTGATTATATTTATATACTTGTGTCATAGATGAAATAAAGAAAGCGAACAAAGGAGAATGGAAATATCAATATGAGAAATAGGTTGTTTGAGATATGATTCATGCTGTTAACCGTGAACAATAAAGAAAAAGCAGGAGTTACTTTGCATTTTCTTCTCCTCCTCATCCTTCTACCCAAGGCACCAGAAAGAAGGAGACAGAAAGATTTTGGCATCTCGTTTCCCTACCCAACCACCAAGTGGTGCTGTCAGGCAGGAACAGTTTAGTTGCTGGCCAGAGCTCTTGGCATGTAGGAAGATAGAGAAGCAGAACTAAAGTGCCTGTTGTTTTTTTAGGTTTTTTAGAGATGGGACCTTGTTGTGTTGCCCAGGCTGGTCTTGAACTCCTGGCCTTAAGCAATCCTCCCAAGTCATTGAAATTGCAGGTCTAAGCCATTATGCCTGGCTCTGAAAGAAGATACTTTTGAGTATATAGCATTAGTTGCAGAGGGAATGTTTACGTATCTGTAATGGATAAAATATATGTAGGAAATATGCTTTAAATCCTCACGAATGAAAATATTAAACTGGTATGGAGACATAGGAAGGGCACTGGGTATGGAGTCAGGGCTGGATTTCAGTTCTAATGCCTCCACTTCATACTCACATATCCTTGGCTGCATTATTTAACTTATTTAAAACCTAGTTCTCTTCTCTGTAAAATGTGACTAAGAATGTCCTTCCTTGCCTCCTTACTCCAGCTGTGATCCAGTGAGATTATGCTCATGAAACAACCTTGAACTTTTCTAGTGTAAAATGGCATGTGCATTTCCAGAAGTGTTATACTTATTTCTTAATCTAGAAAAGTGAAGGTGTGGGCCAGATGACTTCTGAGGAAGTTTCTCTTCTCAAATTCTGACAGTCAGAGTGGCCTAGGTTTTAAGTGATAGGGTTCTTCCTCATCAACAGTTTGCTGATGTTGCTAACTCAAGAAAGAAGAGGATGGAGCCCTATTCTAGGCTCTGCTCCTAATTTGCTGAACGACTTTGTGCCTAGTTTCTACTTCAAGGGACAACGGAGGAGCCCATGAAACATTCAGAACGAAGGTGCTTGTTAGTATTCAACCTGGCTGTTAAGTTAATGTGATCATATAATTTGTCACCTAACCTAGAACAGTGAAGAATAAAAAGAGTGCTATTAATAATTAGACCAGGGGAGGCTGAGACGCGTGGATCACCTGAGGTCAGGAGTTCGAGACCAGCCTGGCCAACATGGAAAAACCCCATCTCTACTAAAAATACAAAAATTAGCCAGATGAGGTAGCAGGGGCCTGTAGTCCCAGCTACTCAGGAGACTGAGGCAGGAGAATTGCTTGAACCCGGGAGGCAGAGGTTGCAGTGAGTCGAGATCACACCACTACACTCCAACCCGGCAATAGAGAGAGACTCTGTTTCTAAATAATAATAGTAACACCAGTACAACAGGCATACATCAGAAGTGTCCCAGGCAAACCTGGATATCTGGTGCCCTTATTATACATAAAATGTTAAATTTCTCACTTAGGTATAGAATAGCAAAAATGCTACTCTTGTACCTAGGTACCCTAACTTCTGTTAAGGATTAGCAAGATGCGGGTATGTTAGGATGCTGGAGGACAGAACAACATATATTTAACCACAGTGATGAACAGGAGGCTGTTTTTCCCTCTTAAAAATGCATAGTGTTGCAACTCTGTGGTTAAAGGTAAGAGGAAACAGTTTAGCTTCAAATTTCCTGATCTTTCATTTTTATTGCAACTTGAATGTGTAGGATAGGAATCTGTCTGGTAGATTGAGTTATGCTTGGGCCTCTGCCTGCTTTGGTTATTGTCAATATGGTTGTGCTAATGCTTAGTAAGTGTGAATATCCATTACATCTCCAACAGACTCAGTCTTGTGATCAAATATAAACAGAGAAGCAAAAATGGTTTGTCCTAGGGATTTCTATGGGGCACAGCCAAGCACTCAGGGCTTTTCAAGCCAGATAATAGAGAAGGGGTCTGATTTGTCAAACAAATTGAATTATCAAATCTCTTTGAAAATGTCTAATGTCCTAATAATCTATTTGCCTTTAATAAATGAGGCAAATAGATTTCTGATATGGGGAAAGTGTCTCAATATTTTCTAAAAAGAACCTTTAAACCAGAAGAGAAATGTGTACTACTAAGCTTGGAAGCAAATAACAAAAGGATCAACTTTCTAAACAGTTTGTAGAGAGGAAAAATGGCTCAAATAAGTTTAAATGACAGCTAATAAATATTCCTTTTGTGTTTTGGAGTATGTTATTAATTTTTGATTGCCCATTTAACGTCTTATGTTTTGTTTATAATTAGATTAATTAGGTCAATATGCCGAAGGATAGAGAGATATATTTGTTGCATGGAGGACGAAGGGTGCTCAAAAACTTAAATGATGATATAAATCAGTTTGGTAGTTTTAAAAAATCTAATACAGGCCAGGCGTGGTGGGTCATGCCTGTAATCCCATTACTTTGGGAGGCTGAGGCGAGCAGATTACTTGAGATCAGGAGTTTGAGACCAGCTTGACTAACATGGTGAAACTCCATCTCTACTAAAAATACAAAAATCAGCCAGGCATGGTGGTGGGCGCCTGTAATCTCAGCTACTCGGGAGGTTGAGGCAGGAGAATCACTTGAACCTGGGAGGCAGAGGTTACAGTGAGCCGAGATCATGCCATTGCACCCCAGCCTGGGTGGAAAAAAAAAAAATCTAATACACATAAGCTACACATACAATGGAGAATCAAGCAGATAAAATTGTCATATTGCTCTGTAGACATCCAATCACTTTAAAACATTAAAATGTTCTTTCTAAAAATGTTCTCATTCCCAGTACCTGACTCTGAAAAGAGTTGTTCATTTGTAATTCTGGGGATGTGACATCATGATTGGTTTTTTTGAAAATATATGCTGGGTTATACAGTATTTTTGCCTGAGCTCAAATTACATAGTAAGATACATTAGAGACCTTGTGGTGTTGCACATGCGCCATGAGTATATTTTCAGGCTGCCCAATCACATGGCTTTCCTTAGGCCATTAGACCGTCTACTGCAAGCAGACAGAACTTCCTCAGGTTAGTTGAGTATTTTGAAAAGTCCAGAAAAGAGTCTTTGACAGAATGGAATTATCTCTTTGCATAAATATATTTTAATAGATTATTATTTTTATGGTCCAACTACCATTCTTATTTTATGATTATAATTAGGTCATGGATAAAATGACCCACAGCTGGTGCCTTGCAGAGCTCCTAATTATGCCAAAGTCCAACCACCCATGCTGCTCGTTGCCATGCTACTCAGTTATATGGACCAGATATTTTCCCCAATTGAGTGGTTTTTATGAGCAGGTGTTCAGCTAATAGGACAAACAGAGGGTGTGCAGCTTTAGCCAGCTCATTAACATCACGAAATAATTGAAAAGGACAGATATACCAGAATGTCCAGCTCAGAGGATAGCTTTGAACCTACAATAGGTCACTTTTCTGAGCATCAGCCATGATACTGCAGAAAGAGATTGAGTGAAGCTTCAGAAGACCCGGAGTCTCCTTCCAGCTCTATCACATAGTCTCCAGGTAACTCCGGACAACTCTCTTAGTTGGTTTAGACCTCCATTTCATCATCTACTACTGAAGCTATTAACCTGCCCCACCTGTCACACAGTGTTATAGGATTCAATGAGATGGATTATGTTTATGAATGGCACTATAAATTATCAACGCTACATAAATACAAGGTACCATTATTAAGGTCTAATCCAGCTTTCCCAGTGACTCAGGATATAATTGGGCAACTAAATGACATCAGGTTTTGCAATCATTAAAATGGCAAAACGTTTTAGAAACTTCACTCAACCTCATGACTAATAAGATTTCTTAGAACATGTCATTTGCTTTTTCTGGGTAATCAATAACCAATATCCAGAAATAAAATGCTTCTAGAATTGATAAAGCAAAGTTTAAGAAAATGACATTTGACTGGGCACAGTGGCTCATGCCTGTAATCCCAGCACTTTGGGAGGTTGAGGTGAGAGGATCACTTGAGGCCAGGAGTTTGAGACCAGCCTGGGCAACATGGAGAAACCCCATCTCTACTAAAAACACAAAAATTAGCCAGCCATGGTGGCACACACCTGTAATCCCAGCTGCTCTGGATGCGGAGGGATGAGAATTGCTTGAACCCGAGAAGTGGAGGTTGCAGCCGAGATGGTGCCACTGCACTCCAGCCTGGGTGACAGAGCAAAACTTTGTCTAAAAAAAAAAAAGAAAGAAAGAAAAGAAGATGACATTGAATGCAATCCCCCACTGCTAAATTTGATTGGCTAAAAAAATATTATTATTATTATTATTATTATTATTATTTGAGACGGAGTCTTGCTCTGTCACCCAGGCTGCAGTTCAGTGGCACTGATTTTGGCTCACTGCAACCTCTGCCTCCCCTCCCAGGTTCAAGTGATTCTACTGCCTCAGCCTCCCAAGTAGCTGGGACAACAGGCGCCCACCACCACACCTTTTTGTATTTTTAGTAGAGACAAGTTTTCGCCATGTTGGCCAGGCTGATCTCGAACTCCTGAGCTCAGGTGGTCTGCCTGCCTCAGCCTCCCAAAGTGCTGGGATTACAGGTGTAAGCCACCACACCCAGCCTGACTGGCTAAAAAAATTTTTTTTAATAAAAAAAAAGAAAATTATATTGAGAAGGGGAGATCACTAAAGACTGTGCTCTCTTAGTTCTAGAAAATTATGTGTCACTCAATCTCTTATTAAAGAACAAGGGAACCTGGAGAAGCTTCTAAATGTTTGAAATAATAACTGATTACATTATGTTTCCATTTCTGACGGACAGTTCAATATTCCATGCTGCATAAAGAAAGCATAAGCCTTCTAGCCCACTCCTTTCCCTTCCTGTTTCCCACGAACCAGATCTAAAGGGTGGTAGAACATATGTATAAGAATATTCATTACAGCATCATTTCAGAGAATTGGAGGCAAGAAAGATGTCCATTACTGGAGGAGTCAATAAGTAAAAGATACATATAATTAACAGACTATTGATAATAATGCATTAGAAATATCATCAACAACACAGATACCTCTTAAAATTTTAGTGTTCAGTGAAAAGAAGGAGAGAAAAGAGGGAGAGTGGGAGAGCAGGAGAAATGGAATGAGATATAAAACCTAAGAGGGGATCTTGTGTATGCCATGAATGAAGGACTATGTTAACTCATTACAGGCCTAAAGACAAACAAAAAAAAAGGGGCTTTAAAAATTAAAAGATTGGTGGACTGCCTCATCTTTCAGAGTTTGCCTGTATAATTAATTCTTTCCACTATGTTTTTTGTATAATGAGGGAATATCTCATGGCTTACTTAATGTCCTTTGTACTGCAGCCCCACCAACCCTTGGTCTTGGATTTTTTCCTCAAAAGCCAAGGTGAAGAGCTGGGTATTGACCTCCACGACCTCCTTCCATGCTTTTCAACACCATCATTCAGTGGCTTTATAGCCTTCTCTTGTCCCAGCTAAATAACATCAGGCCTTTTTGTGTTCCTTATACATCTGATCTGTGTGTGTGTGTGTGTGTGTGTGTGTGTGTGTGTGTGTGTGTAGTCTTGCTCTGTCACCCAGGCTGGTGTGCAGTGCTGTGATCTTGGCTCCCTGCAGCCTTCGCCTCCTGGGTTCAAGCGATTCTCCTGCCTCAGCCTCCCAAGTAGCTGGGATTACAGGCATGCACCACCAACATGCCCAACTAATTTTGAGATTTTTAGTAGAGACGGGGTTTCACCATGTTGGCCAGGCTGGTCTTGAACTTCAGGTGATCCGCCCACCTCATCCTCCTAAAGTGCTGGGATTACAGGCATGAGCCACTGCACCTGGCCCTAATTTTACTATTGTTTAGTCAACTATTGTTTAACTCTTGAGTTAGTTCCAAGGACTCTCCTCCCTTTTCAACTATGGAACCCTGAGCCAGCTACAGTGTGTTAATGAAAGTAGGGGTGGCCTCCTGCTTTCTTCACTCCTGCTTCATAAATCCCAGTTCCAGCCATCTCCAAAGATGCTAGTCTATGTCCCAGGAAAAGGGTAAGGCATATATAATAAAGTGATAGATATTTCCAACATTAGTTATTGAATTAAATATTAGCCACTGAATTAAAGTTTTTTGTAAAACAGATTTCACTCCTGGCACCAGCAAACTGAAAATTTGGAAAGGGTTGATGAGGACATTAGGACTAAGGAAGATTATTTATGTACATTTCCTTAGGGAGAAGCCACACAGGAAGAAAATGAAAATACCTCAACAACGACTAGACTATCTAAGCAGATCTGTCACGACCTTAAGAATCCTAGGAAATTTTCCTCATGGTCCTAGATAGAATGACTAAATCTAACAGCCAAAATGACTGCCACTTGTTTCCTGCCCAGTATACACTAAGAGATTAGAACTGATCAATGTCTGCCTCAGGTTTTTGCTTCATTTCGTTCTGAACGTACAAGGACAGAGTGGATCATTTGTGAAAGATCTCGCAGCATTTTCATGTTCGGTCACATTTCATCAAAACTACCAGAAGCAAATTATAAGAAATTATGTGGATATGGGTAAAATTAACTTCTCTACTTTTTATTTATTAGTTTGTTTTAGAGATGGAGTCTTGCTCTGTTGCCCAAACTGGAGTACAGTGGCATCGTGATCATAGCTTACTACAGTCTCGAACTTCTGAGCTCAAGCAACCTTCCCGCCTCAGTGTCCCAAGTAGCTAAAACTACAAGTGTGTGCCACCACGTCTGGCTAACTAAAAAAAAAAAAAAAAAAAAAAAAAAAAAAAAAAAAGATAGAGATCAGGCTCAAACAATCCTCCCACCTCTGCTTCCCAAAGAGCTGGGATTATAGGCACAAACCACCATGCCCAGCCAACTTCTGTACATTTAAAAGAGCTTCTATTACTACCTAAGTATGGCCAAATAAGAGGCTGAAGCAAAGATCAGAGTAGCCTGACCTTGTGATGAGCAATTCCTTGAATGCCCGACACTTATACTGAACTTCTTTTTGGTTTAGCCAACATAAATATACCAGTTCTCGGCCTGGGCGGGAGGTATACAATGCTTCCTGCAGGAACCCTGAGTCACAGCAAGAGTAAATGACTTGGCACAGAGGTCAGAATGAGGCCTGGGGTTGCCTGGGTTCAAGAGCCAGCTCAGATACCAGCTCATCCTAAGATTCCAAGCAAGTCACTTTATGCTCTTGCATAAAGTGGATTGTACGCACAGGTGACCATATAGTTTATTGCTCAGGCCAGGTATTGTTTAGAGTAAAAGGGGGTGCTATTAGTAATACCACTAGGACAACGAATCTTTCAGGCTCACAGCTGCTTTAAAATTCCATTACAGCTGAGAAAATGGGACCCAGGTTCCTGCTCACCAGACCTGTCCTCTGCTTCCCTGGCAGGAGATAGCTCAGCCTGGAGTCCTGGGGAAGATTGTTCAGCATACTGTAAAAGATATATGTAGGCACTTTCCCAGCAAATAAAAAGGACAGCCTAACCTGCACCTGCTTGGTTGCACTGTGTGTTGAAAATCAACAGCATTGGAAGGCCAAAAACACATCAGGGCCCTTGCCCAGGAAGACAGCAGATGCACGTACCTCCTGCACCAGGAGACATGAGCCTTCCATTTGCAGCATCAGGCTTATTGCCCCTCTATCAAACCTGTTCCCCACTGGCAGGCGATGCCCCAAGTGAGTGGGCAGGATGGCTATGGTCCAGGACAGAGCAGGGGCTGCTTCAGGATCCCCAGGTGTTGGTTTTTAAAAGGGCAGGTTACTGCTTTATAAAGCACTCCAAGCCACAGGTTATCCTTCTACCAACAATTTCATCTTTCTATAGCACTGTCCACTGTCCCTAGTCACTTGATGTTTTAAAAGTCAAAGGAAGCCGGCCGGGTGTGGTGGTTTATGCCTGTTAATGCCAGCATTTTGGGAGGCCAAGATGGAAGGATCATTTGAGCTCAGGAGTTCGAGACCAGCCTTGACAACATGGTGAAACCCTGTCTCTACCAAAACTACAAAAAATTAGCCACGCGTGATGGTGTGTGTCTGTGGTCCCAGCTACTCTAGAGGCTGAGGTGGGAGGATTGCTTGAGCCTGGGAGGTGGAGGTTGCGGTGAGCCGAGATCGTGCCACTGCACTCCAGCCTGGGTGACAGTGAGACTCTGTCTTAACAGCAACAAAAAGTCTAAGGAAGCCATCAACAACATCCAGAAATTAAGCTGAGTTAGGTCATAACACAGCCCTTAAAAATGTCCCAGTGACCTCTTGTCACTGTGTAATGAGAGAATTTGGAAATGAAGGTGAAGGAGAAATATTCAAAGAAAAGTCATCCAAGGAAGGAAGAAATTATATTGGTCATACAAACCTATTTTATCAGTTTTGCAAGCTTGTCATTTATTTTTCTCTTCTTTTCTTTTCTCTTTTTAAATTTTGGAGAAGCTCTGAATAACAGGAAAAAGCATTTGGCTTCCAAATAGGGCCATTAAACTGGTGTTGCTGCTGCCCTGATTCCAACGGCCTAATCCTTTCCCCAGAGCTAGAGTGCCAGGGCTCCCAGGGGCTCAAGATGGAGCTTGCCTTCACCCTCTCCTCCCCACTGCTGCTGTCACAGTGTGTCCTCTGGCTGCAGGGCTGCTCTGGGCCCTGACTGCCTGCAGACTGCTTCCCCAGAAGAGATGTTAATTACACACCCAGCCATACCCCTCTTCAGAGGCAGGACTAGCCACATGCAGCTGCCACTTGTTTTCAAGAGCTGCAGCAATCTGGTTTTTGAACTGGGCAAAAGTGCCGGAATGGGCCCATGGCCACATGCACTGGGGGGGCCCTGCCCCAGCTGCAAAACTGGGTCCCCAAAGAATGAGGCTCCTGGCCACTAAGGCCACTAAGACTAGGCAAGCTACTCTGCTGGTGCCAGCCTTCTGCTCCTGAGAAAGAAGCAGGTAATATTTTAAAATCCCTATGAGCAGAATTTCTTGACATTTTGTCTTCATTATAGTAACCTTAAGGTGGCTCTCCATTTTTCAGAAAGACACAGGAAATGCAGCTACTTCTGATGAGTTCGACTGCATTGACAAAGAATGGACTCATTCAGAAAAAACAGTCTAACAGGGCCCACAACCTATAGATGGTTGCCTACTGGATAGGGTTTGAAAAATTATACTGAAAACCCACAGTCTTGGTATATTTTTGCCCAGCAAGATGCTTGGAATTCTGACCAATAAGGAGGACATATTTTGCATAAAGCTTTGATTCTCCTGATTGCCTCCTTTTAAAATTCAAATGGTAACTATATATAATATTTCAAGGAACTCCTAGATATGTTATCTTGCTGGAACCTACTTAATATACCAGGGAGGGACATAATTCATTAAATGATTATTGTCTATTAACATCCTAATTTTAATTAGTTTTCCACAGATGAGAAAAACAAGCCCTGAGAGAATGAGACCTGGAAAGTGGCACATTTGGATTGAAGGGGAGGTGAGAACCCACTGGAAACACAACCAGGGTGGAGCCAGTGAGGCTCTGTGGTCCCACAGACACCTCTGAACTGACACCTGCACCCATACAGGTGCTGAGAGAGAGCTAAGGAGCCACAGACAGGAAGGACAGAAGTCACAAAGACAAACTTTACCCACTCATGCTTTTACCTGGGCCTGACCTGGAAGTCCTAATTAAAAGACCCCGGACTTCCAGATAGACTCATCCCAACGCTGGGAACGCACACATGCTATTTCTTGAAAGAACAACTTGGCTGTCCCCCAGAGCAGAGTGCCTGGTGTGTACACTGGGATTCCTTTCAATAATTAGAATCCTCTGCTTATGCCAGATATTAATCGGGAACAAAACGAAGCTTTAGTTTTGAAACATCCCTTCTCACTCATTAGCACAATCCTTTAATAATGCACCTTGGAGGCCCTGAGTAATTCTTCTAGTTTGCTGCCCCACAGCATGTCTGGGTTCCAAGGATTTGCTTGGAAGGTGCTGGATACCCTATCCTAGCTGGAGCTGGGAGTGTCCAGAAGCAGCCTCTTTCTTTACCTCTGAGCTTCTGTTGCTGTGTTCCCTTAGCCTCCCAGCCTCATCCTGCCCTTGGACTTGGTGGCCAGGTGGCACTCTCTCTTTGGCCCTTACTATCCTTATCTGTCAAGTGAATGGTTTTGATTTCACTGGTTTTCATGCCTAGCTGCACATTAGACTCACCTGGGGAACTTTGAAACCCAATGCCAGGGCTGCACACCCATGTATTCTGATTTAATTGGTCCAGGGTGGGGCCAGTCACTGATTTTTTTTTTTTTTTTTTTTTTTTTTTTGAGACGGAGTCTTGCTCTGTCATCCAGGCGGGAGTGCAGTGGCATGATCTCTGCTCACTACAACCTCCGCCTCCCAGGTTCAAGCGATTTTCCTGCCTCAGCCTCCCAAGAAGCTGGGATTACAGGCACTCACCACAATGCCCAGACTAATTTTTGTGTTTTAGTAAAGATGGGATTTTACCATGTTGGTCAAGCTGGTCTCGAACTCCTGACCTCAGGTGATCCACCCGCCTCAGCCTCCCAAAGTGCTGGGGTTACAGGCATGAGCCACTGTGCCCTGCCCCAGTGACTGATTTTTTTTTGTTTTTAAGTTCTCCATGCCCCACAACCACTAGGTTAAATTATCTCCAGGGACCCTCCCAGTTTTAATAAAGTCTATGATCCTTACTCTCTGGTCTCTGTGCTTTATTGAATTTATCTTTTCTCCATAAATACTCATCTTTTATGTTCAGCATGTTACATAGGCTGATTTTTAGAAATGCTTTTACTCATTTAAAAATCATATCGTTGGTTAGGCGCAGTGGCTCACACCTGTAATCCCAGCACTTTGGGAGGCCGAGACAGGCAGATTGCTTGAGCTCAGGAGTTTGGGACCAGCCTGGGCAACATGGCGAAACCCCATCTCTACAGCGGGGCATGGTGGCACAAGTCTGTGGTCCCAGCTACTCAAGAGGCTGAGGTGGGAGGATTGCTTGAGCCTGGGAGGCAGAGGCTGCAGTGAGCCGAGATCGTGTTACTGCACTCCAGTCTGGGTGACAGAGTGAGATCCTATCTCAAAAAAATAAAAATAATGTTGTTAAAGTATTGTTTGTTGGGGGTAATCAGCTATAATACTGAACGTTTGAAGTATACAATTTGATAAATCTTCCCATATAAGAAATGGTCACAGTCATAATAATGAACATATCCATCACCCTCAAAAGTTTCCTGTGTCCCTTGGGAATCCCCCCAAACATTTTTTCTCCTGCCCCTACCTTCCCAAGTAACCATGGATCTTTCTTCCTTCCTTCCTTCCTTCTTTCCTTCCTTCCTTCCTTCTTTCCTTCCTTCCTTCCTTCCTTCCTTCCTTCCTTCCTTCCTTCCTTCCTTCCTTCCTTCCTTCCTTCCCTCCTTCCCTCCCTCCCTCCCTCCCTCCCTCCTTCCTTCCTTCCTTCCTTCCTTCCTTCCTTCCTTCCTTCCTTCCTTTCTTTCTTTTCTTTCTTTCTTTTTTGACAGAGTCTTGCTCTGTCACCCAGGCTGGAGTGCAGTGGTGCAATCTCAGCTCACTGCAACCTCTGCCTCCCAGGTTCAAGCAATTGTCCTGTCTCAGCCTCCCGAGTAGCTGAGATTATGGGTGCCCATCACCATGCCCGGCTAATTATTGTATTTTTACTAGAGATGGGGTTTCACCATGTTGGCCAGGCTGGTCTCAAACTCCTGACCTCAAGTGATCCGCTTGCTCAGCCTCCCAAAGCGCTGGGATTACAGGCATGGGCCACCACGCCCAGCCACTTTCTTTTGCTGTAGATTAGTTTGCATTTTCTATCATTTTATACAAATGTAATCACTCAACACATCCTATTTTGTGCCTGGACATAACTTCTAATTATCTCCCTGGACTTTAGATTTCAAGCTCTTTGAAAACAAGATCACTTTTTCTTTTCTCTTCCTCTTGGCCCTCAACTTATCTTTGCTAAGATACAGCCCTTAATCATTATTTGCTTGATTGACATAAGACCTTCATGAACTTAAAACCAAGTTTCAGTTTGGTGGCCAAGAAGTGCCTGCCACGTTGAAGGTTTTTAACCCACCACCACTTCTGGAGAGGTTCCTCAGTTGGCAGCTTCAGCCCAGTAAATAAATAAATAAATAAATAAATAAATAAATAAATAAGCACATGAGCTTAATTTAGGGTCTGTGGACTTCCAGGAGTCCAGAAAGTGAGAGTCAAGGTGTGGGTTGGGGAGTGGGGTGGAGGGGGAGGCTCAGGATGCGGGGAATGAATACCTGAGAAAGGTCCTTGGCTTTCACCAGATTCTTGACACAAAGGGATAGACTATGGAATTAATGCCCTGCTCTATTCCTTATAATTTCCTATCTGCTTTTTATGAATCTGATGTCTAATTATAAATCCTTAATTCCTCCCTTCTCCCTTCCCACCTCCCCAGCACCTTTGTTTTGTTCTCTGCCTGCCCTGGTTATACTTAACCCTACTTAACTAAACACACTACAGGGCCCTGTCCAGTGGCAGTGCCACTTCATGGGAACTGTTTGCATTCCTCTTCTCTTTAAGAGCTTCTCATCTGAACTATGTGACAGATTGTACCTTTTTATTCAATGATTCTTATTCCACTTTACTTAACAGTTTACCCTGAATACTTGGATGCCACTCACATATCACAAATCTATATTTTCTCTAGACCCCAGAGCCTGGGATTCCTTTTCATCTCACAAAAAAAATAAAAAATAAAAAAAAATCAATGCTTTTGTTGTTATAAATAAGTATTATGAGAACCAGAAGTAACAATAAACTGCAAATTCAAAATCAAGCCACTTCTCCATCCAGAGACACCTCCCTCACTTCCCCTCGTCAAACAGAAAACGTATTTTAAAATGATACTATGTCTGATTTTTGATAAAAGTCTGGGATGTAGAATAACAATAATCTGCTCCTAAATGAGAAAATCATAGGCATCGGACAAGTGCTGGTTTCAGAGTTATCTTTCCAAAATAGAAGCGAGCAAGAAAAACATCTCACCTGCTGGCCAAAAGACCAACACCAACTCCCCTTCCTCCAAATTCCCCTTGACCCTGTGCAGTTTTGTTTGTAAGGGACTGATGTCTTACACTCAGCAGCATTTCCTGGCTTCTGCTCGGGGGTAAGTTTTTCATTCCTATTCTCCCTTTCACCTCTACCATTTTCCAACAGAAGAGCAAATACAGTAACAATAGCATTTTGGTCTAGTTCCTACACAAACTCATTCCTCTGCATAAAAGGCAGACCTTTGAAAGGTACTTACGTGGAAGAGGCAAAGGCAAGCCCTGGGTTTGGAAGCAGTGTTTGCTGATGCCAGCCTGCTTAAATAGCTGGGCTGGCTGACGCAGGCTGCTGATAGCACGTTTATTTATGCCTGTGAGCGCACACTCCAGCAAGGACCTGAAAAACCTGCAGCGTGGGCAGGAGGAAAACCACTGAAAGTATGCTGAAGTTACGTCTCTCCTGGTTATTCAGGTTTGATGTTCAGGCTGGGACTTCTGAGAGTTTCATGGAACTTTCTCGTCACTATCTTCTCGTCCCTGACCTTTCTCCTGGCCAAGCAAGCTTCTTCACCAAGATCGGATGAGAGAGATGTGGCTGAGAGAAGACTGGGAAGAGAAAAGAGACCCTGAGTCTTTTCACCCACTTCCTTACTTTGAGCGGGTTTCCAGTTGGATGTTGCCTCATTTCAAAGTGTAGATCTGGTGCGGTTGATTTCACAGCTCTGTGGGCTGGATGCCAGGCTAAGAGCCTGGACAATTGCCCAATTAATGAAAGGTTGTTTTCTTTTGGGCACAGAATGTACAAATAAAGAACAGTTAAAAGGGAGAGATTCGGGACTAGGATGATACAATTTTAGGTCTCCCTCAAAAACTATTCTCATTTATTTCCCCTGCATCTATACTTCCCTCTTACCATCCCCTCCCCTTCGTTAATGAAATTCCTGTCTAAGAGGTGAAAGATTCCCCACGGGCTTGCAAATAAAAAGCCAGTGTGGGAGCAATCTGTGGGAAGATGCATGCAGAGTGTGATGGAGAGTTCAGGGGCTCGTGTGACAATCCGTGCAAATGTTTCTAAAGGTGAGGGTATGTGTGTGGGTGTGAGGACCTGGCCGTTGGATATTTATGTATTTTATTAGCTAGATACGGGAGCTAATACTCAATTGCAGTGCACTAAACACATTATTAGGTGGGTATGATTTTGAGGGAATGAGGGAAGGGAGACAAGGTCTGGTGAGATCATCTGTGGGTGTATCTGTGTGTATTTGCTGGTTCATAGCACAAACCAGTAAGTGCCATCCGGAGAGCCACACCCTGTATTTTTCACTTCACGGGAGAAACAGAAAGCCCACTGGAGTCTCTTGGGAACAGTAGCCATAAGTGAAAGAAGAGCAGCGCTCATTCAGAATATCTCTCTCTCTCGGAAAGGGGGGTGACGGGAAACATGTGTGGGAAAGAGTAGAGACAGGGGGTCCAGGTTAACCCAACCTTGGTTACCAGAGGAATTCTTTTGTCTCCTGCCTAATTCATTGCCTAAATTCTGACCGTTCTGTGGCCAAACCTGGATTCTTGCTGCCACAATTTTTTGAATGGGCAGGGTCTATGTCTTGTTTATCATTTGATATCCACAGCATTATTATTGTTATTATTATTGTTGTTGTTGTTGTTGCACAAATTATTATTATGACAGCACAAATTATGATGATGATGACAATGGTCATGATCCATAATCTAGTAAGACTGATTGTGTGTCAGGCTCCATGTAAGGCACTGTACAGAGAGTTTGTTTGCTTATTTAATGTGTAATCCTCACAACAACCCTATGAGGTTTTTTTTGTTTTTTGTTTTTCACCCAGGCTGGAGTGCAGTGACACGGTCTTGACTCACTGCAGCCTTGACCTCCCGGACTGAGGTGATTCTCCCACCTCAGCCTCCCGAGTAGCTGGGACCACAGGCACACACCACCACACGTGGCTAATTTTTTGTATTTTTTGTAAAGATAGTGTTACCCCATATTGCCCAGGCTGGTCTCAAACTCCTGGGCTCAAGAGATCCTCCTGCCTCAGCCTCCCAAAGTGCTGGGATTACAGCCTTGAGCCACCAGGCCTGGCTGAGTTAGTTTTTTATTATCATTATTTTACAGATGAGGAAACAGATAGTCAGAAAAACTAAATAACTTTCCCAAGGTCACAGTGAATGGTGGAGGTGGAATTTGAATCCAGTTCTATCTGATTCCAAAGTCAGGGTTTCACTCAGGACTGGCTTGAACCAATACTTAGAAAGTTGCCTAAGAGTGTTTTCACCTATCTTTAATTGTGTTTTTGTTTATCATCTGTCTTCCAGAATGTGATTTCCATGACAACAATGACCTTTCTGCATTGTCTACTCCTGTGATCCAGGACAGTGCCTGGCTCTTGGTAGGTGCTCAATAAATATGTGCCATTTGTTCAGTTTCTAAATTCCTGTGGAGGCAGTACAGCCAACAGATAGAGGTCCTGGCATCCACAGAGTCTCATCCTGGTTCAGATGAGACATTTCTTTTTCTCTTGCATCATGTGTCAGCTTCAAGCTATTTCTCTTTATCCAGTGTATCATGGAGATTAAACCAAAAATGGTTGAAACCATGAAGCAGTTTTTACATCACTTAACTCTGCAGGTGTATGGTTCCAGTTGTTTGGGGGTGCAGTGATGAAACCAAGACCTCTAGCTTTTTCCGTCTTTCATTTTGTAGCTCTCAGTGTGACAGCATTGTCTCTCCTCAGGGTGGTAAGATGGCTGCAGTAGCTCCTTTCATCATATCTTTAAACAAAATATCCAAAGATGGGTAAAAAGTGGCCCAGCCCACATGATGGGCTAAGTCCATCATGTGCAAAGAGGAAAGGGATCAGGCTGATCATGGCTCCTCTCCTGGGCCTAAGGGAAGAATCCACCTTCTCTAGACAAATTGCTCTGATAATCTGAACAAAATCAAGATTCATTTATTAGTGAAGAAGCAGAAAAGTGCTACCCACAGTTTTGCCAATCTAAGAGATCCTTTAAAATACAATAACCTGAACTGCTTTCATGCTTGGGCACCAGTCCAGCCATGGCAATTGGGTTTTACTATATCAGTTCTCTCTTTCTATGCTTTTTTTTTTTCTTCCCCAGGGAGATAAGGTTGCTTTGGCTCTAGGTAAAATTATGAGTATTTCAACAGCCTGCAAATAAGGGAGGTAGCTGGCCACTAATTTTTTTCCTGCAGGTTTAGATCCTAGGTCTTTATATCACCACTGATTTCCAGGGACTACGACAAAATCTGTCAGCCTCTTGTCTTCTCCTGTGCCAGATGGGATTGGATGATGCTGTTGATTTCTTAGAGAAGTTGGGTCCAATACCACAACTAATTATAAAAACATGACTCATTTTCCGGCTCCTCCTGTTGTCTATTATATTTCAGTGGAATTCCAGAATCCCACATGTTTGCCTCTGCCTCTGCCTGAGAGCTCCAGCTACTGCCTGGGTTATGTAAACTAAAGACATATGGCTGAGATGGTAATTCTCACATAGATCTTTTTCTCCTGGTGAGTAACAAACTTCAAATTACCACCCACAGTAAGTATTATTTTTCTTCTATTTGCTGTTCTAAACCTTCTCCTTGCCACAGGTTTTGGGAACTCTTTTCTTCATTGTCTCAAATCAAGAGAATTAGGAGGAAGAATGGGGTCATGAGATGTTCCTTCACAAGACAGGAAAAACACCTGGCGGGGGAAAGTGGCTCAGTAAGTGTTTACTGTGACTGGACAAATGGTGGAAAGGAAAGAGCGTGGGCTTCTCAATCCTGCAGACTTGCATGAAGTCCCACTACGTCTGCTTACCACCAATTTGATCAAGGATAGCTTATATAACTTCTCTCTGTTTCCTCATCTGTAATATGGGACCGATGAGAATTATCTCACAAGTTCATTGTCAGGACTAGAGATATGATATGTAAAGCACTTAGCATAATACCCAGAACATAGTAGGTGCTCCACAAATGGGTAGCTACTGCTAATAGTTACAAGAAGAAGCTGGATTTTCCTATCCTTGGTCATCTTTGTGGAACCCATGCAAAATAGTTAAACCCAAAACCTCCAGGTGCCACAGCAAACAGAGCATTGGTAGAGCCACATATAATGCAGGGATGTCTGGATAGTGGGGCAGCTATTCTCTTCCTACCAAAAGCTAGAGGTTGTTGAAGTGCAGGAAGTTGATTTATGGATAGGGAGTATGTGGGCCCGAGAAATGATGCAAAGAGAGAAAAGCCATTCCTTGGGGAACATAAAACTACCACGGACATTTCAGTCAATTCACAGTGAAGACTCTAAGCCTCCCAAGGGCCCAAATCTGACCTGTACAGAAACAAATGAGGAAGAGGGGGTAGCCAGAGGATAGAGGTGAGCTTGCTGAGAATTCTGCCCCCAAGTTTGGAGCTTGCAAACAGAGAGGCCGAGAATTCTGCAGATGCTGTGGCAGTTTGAACTCCTGGAGAGCCCTTCCTGGCCCAGCCTAGCTGGGACGTAGAACACTGTGGGAAGCAGAAGAGGATCAGCCGATGGCAGAGAACCTGGACAAGGAAAAGGATGCCAACCAACTGAGGATAGAGACGTTTCCCTTGGCTCCTCCCGGCAAAGGATTTTTCAGGTTTCCTGGTGAGGAGGGAGTGGAAGTTATGACATAATCACACTCTATATTCTTTGTAGTTTGTTGTAGGCATGGTAATGATTAAGTCATCCTTTCGGTGAACTGTATATACTAGATTCTTTTCTTGAGACGGAGCCTCACTCTATCACCCAGGCTGGAGTACAGTGGTGCGGTCTGGGCTCACTGCAACCTCCACCACCATATCCAGCTGAAATAGTTATGTGTGTGTATGTATGTGTGTGTGTGTGTGTGTGTGTGTATATATATATATATAGTATTTTTAATGGGAACAAAGTTTCACTGTGTTGGTCATGCTGGCCTTGAACCCCTGGCCTCAAGTGATCCACCCCCTTGGCCTCCCAAAGTGCTGGGATTACAGGTATGAGCCACCGCACCTGGCCTACTGCATATACTAGATTCTAAGTGTGGATTCTACCATCTTTCTAATTCATTTGTGGTCCTATGGAGTGTTAGAGAGTTGATGGCCGGGAGTTAAGTGTTGCGTCCCATCAACAGCACCTGTGCCTGGGTAGGGTTGTCACATCTGGTGTGGCCCCTATTGTGTTTGTTCTTCTACTTAAGAAAAACAGTTTCTTCTCATTCCATTTAGATTCACCCAGGGTTTATTGAATGAGGAGGCCACAAGTATTATTTTCCTTCCTGAGCCCCTTCCTGTGATTGGCTAGAGAAGGGGATGGCCCTTGGCAATGGTTGGGAGGGGAGGGGCGGCCGGCAGGCATCACTCATCTGTGGAAGGAGTTGGGGAGGAGGCCTTTCTTCAATCATGAATGAATGCTTCCCTTTACTGCTGTCAGCCGGGGCTGCCCGAGAAGCAGCGTGGCGACATTCTCAGAAGGGATAGGGGTGGTGCCTCACCAGTCATGGTGGCCTCATCCATGACTGATGGAAAGATGTTGCAGACTGGGGCCACCTGTCCTGATTGTAATCCCCTAACACATAGGGTGAGGACAGAGTCCCCACACCCTGAAATTTCAGGGATGGGCCCTGTGCTAGTAGAAAGCAGGGGGTGGGGATCTGGGGACAAGAAAAGCAAAATCATTTGGTTAAAAAGCTTGCTTAACTGGGCACCAAACCCAGGCACTCTGGTTTCACAGTCCATGGTCTAATCACTGCACTGCACGGCCTTTGCAGCTACTTCTGACAGTGTCACAGGAACCTCAGGTAGGAGGGAAGAGCAGTTACCACCTCCTCTGCACGGGGTGCCCCAACCCCAAGTTTTGTCTATTTAAGACATTGACTTCTGTGAGTGATTTTACTTGGATACAGAGAGGAGAGGAAAAGAAGGACTGAGCTAACAAAAATATAGTTTGAAGACAAAATGGAAGAAAACAAAAAATTGTGTGCCTGACATGACACAGTGGAGAAAGAAAGGGCTGAAAGTTATTTGGGATAACATCATGGAGTAACTGAAGGAAAAGAAAGAGTTTTGATTCAAATCTACAGACTCTTTTCTTCCTCCCTCCTCTACCCCAGAGCACCAAGGAAGACTCACAAGGCTCATGGATGACCTAGAAAAATCTCACCTGTCCTCTCCATGTCTCGGCTCCTCATCTGTATAAGGAAAAAAGTTGAGCCAGTTGATGAACCAGAGGTGATGTCTCTGATATCCATTCAGTTTTAATCTCTCGTCCTTCAAGGGGAGAGGGTCAGGGGCAGGTGAATGTGGAGGAGGGCCTCAGAGCAGCCACACAAGCAGGACAGCTGCTCCCATTCAGGGCTGAGAAAGCCTAATGCACGGGTGCAGCTTTCCCAAGTGTTTGTTTCAACATTAAAACACTACTTCCACCCCCATGCCTCCCTCCCAGTTCTCTCCCCAACCACCTGGCCTTCTCCAGACCTTTTAGCGTCCAGAAACTAGAGAACAATACCTGGCACAATGTGGTGCAGGGAAGTGGGCAACCAGGATCTGCTCCAGCCACAACCCTCTCAACAGTGTATTTACTCAGTGCCTGCCTTTTCACTGCAGACCGGGGGATATCCTGAAAGAGAAAACTAGAGTGGGCTAGTAAAGAAGGAAGGAAGGAAGGAAGGAAGGAAGGAAGGAAGGAAGGAAAGAAGGAAGAAACGAAGGAAGGAAGGAAGGGAGGAAGGAAGGAAGGAAGGAAAGAAGGAAGGAAAGAAGGAAGGAAAGAAGGAAGGAACGAAGGAAGGAAGGAAGGGAGGAAGGAAGGAAGGAAGGAAGAAAAGAAGGAAGGAACGAAGGAAGGAACGAAGGAAGGAAGGGAGGAAGGAAGGGAGGAAGGAAGGGAGGAAGGAAGGAAGGAAGGAAGGAAGAAGGAAGAAAAGAAGGAAGGAAAGAAGGAAGAAAGGAAGGGAGGAAGGAAGGAAGGAAAGAAGGAAGAAAAGAAGGAAGGAAAGAAGGAAGAAAGGAAGGAAGGAAGGAAGGAAGGAAGGAAGGAAAGAAGGAAGGAACGAAGGGAGGAAGGAAGGGAGGAAGGAAAGAAGGAAGGAAAGAAGGAAGGAAAGAAGGAAGGAAAGAAGGAAGGAACGAAGGGAGGAAGGAAGGGAGGAAGGAAGGAAAGAAGGAAGGAAAGAAGGAAGGAAGGAAGGGAGGAAGGAAGGAAGGAAAGAAGGAAGGAAAGAAGGAAGGAACAAAGGAAGGAAGGAAGGGAGGAAAGGAGGGAGGGAGGGAAGGAGGGAGGAAGGGAGAGAGGGAGGGAAGGAAGGAGGGAGAGAGGGAGGGAGGAAAGGAGGGAGAGAGGGAGGGAGAGAAGGAACTATAAATCATCCTTGAAAAATGTCTAAAGGTTTTGATTTCTGCTTTTGGCAAAAATATGCTGTGGTCAGCTTTTGTTAAGTAATTCAGTGAAATTCTTCTTTGTGTATTTCAGGAAAACCCCGTCTCCTTCATGGCCATCTCTGAGGTTTCTGCAACCAGGCAAGCCCTGGCAATTCTGTGGGTGATAATTTAGGGTCCCTTGTAGAATGTCTTCTGATGTGGCACATTATATAAATAGTGGTGCACACTCTTGCATCTGGCTTTCACCTCTCTAGAGAGTCAGCTCCCAAACTAATCTTTCTAGTGGGCTCTGAATAACCTGCAAGAGGGTCCTGGGTTGATCCCCTGAGGCTGACACCCCTGACTTTGTTCTCTGAAGGAGGGAAATGGACTCTTCATGGTGCAGCCATTTAATGCCCCCATCTGTGCTAGAGCCAAATCTCAGACTGAAGACAACTTAGTATGGTGTCAGGGTTCAGAAAAAAGGCTTTGGGGACAAGCTGGACCTTATTCAAACCTAGGGTGATCAACTTTCTTAGTTTTGCCATAATTGTCCTGTTTTTAGCACTGCAAGTCTTAAATCCCAGAAAATCCCCAAGTCCTGGGCAAACCCGGAAGCTTGATCACCCTATTCGAGCTCTTTCAGGCCTTAGCCAGTCATTTTCCTTCTTTGAGCCTTAGTTTCCTCATATGTGAAGTGAGGGGAATGATAACAACATCAAATGGTATGCATTTGAAGGTTAATATGCATTCAAAGATTGTTCACCAAGAAAGTTAGAAGTTTACATGACAAAATGGTCTTTCTGTTTCTGTTCCGAGAAGGAGTAGATGTCTCCTCTCCCCAGTGTGTTTTGACTGTTTCAAGTGGAGGTGTGAGGACAGCACTTGAGGATTCTGGAATACTCTTCAGGAAGCCTTGCAGGCCCTGGCAAATGCAGAGCACAAATTAAGGGTTCTCCCAGCTCTATGATTATGTGGTTAAGTGTAAATGGCAGAAGCAGCTACCTGCTTGCAGAAGTCACTTTTAGCAGCTACCACTTGCAAGTCACAAATAACAGATTATGAAATCTTTTCTTTTAGGCTTCTTTATTGCCCCTTGGCTATTGTCTGCAGAGATTCTTAACTAATAGCCATGTTCAGAATGACTGTTTTCCAGAAACCACTGTTTCATGGCTGAAAAATGAAAAGAAGT